TTTATAGTGTACAATCCTCTTTAAAAACTAAGGCTCCTATAGGGTCACTTGAGAAAATGGCTGCACAACTGGATGACTACAATTGATGCCACTGAATTGTACATGTAGATTTGTTGACATGGTGTGTTGTTATGTACACATTCACAAACATCAAAGGTTATTGGACTTATAAAAAAATAAGGCAACACTGATTAGCGTTAATTTTCACATTAAAAACAAGAACAAAAAACCCCCATCAAATGTGCCCATCTGAAAGGGTGTGCTATTAAAAAAAAATAATAAAAGTAGATGAGGTTAGAAAGCAGAACAAAGCCGGCCCTTTCTTTTCGTTCCATTTCTTTTCCATCAGTTAATGATCATAATTGTATTTAGGATCCAATTCTGTTCTGCCCCACCACCACTGTAATAAAGTTTGACTCCTGGTTATCATAAATTCTTTAAATATAATTTTAGTGATTATATATCATCTCAATTAATTAAATTCTTTTTCATATTTTCTAGCGGTGGGGAGCTTTTCCTTGTCAAACCATTTTAGATCTCAAGACTGTATAGTTTAATAGACTACAGAAGCATTACATTAAGGGTTCTCCTTAAAATAAATATTGTCAAAGAAGTTTACCAAGTTTCTCTGTTTTTCTCTTTAGCTTCTCGTTCATATTTCTCAAGTGTCCTTTTGTCAACCATTCCTGTTAAATACCTGAAAAAGTTAAAGAAACAAAAAATAATGAAGGAAACACACACAAACTATTCAGTGAGGTCAAGAAAATTGTAAAGCTTTCAAAGGAAATGTCAACTGAAGAATATAATTATTTTTAATGGTGTCTGTACCAGCAGTGGATGCTAAATTCATGGATGAAAGTTTGGGGAAAATGGGTATTTGTGGTCTCAAAAACATCTCCTCTATGGAAATCGATCTGACAATATCTAAAACAGATGGAAATCGAGCTACCATACGACCCGACCCAGCAATCTCCCTACTGGGCATATACCCAGAAGAGGCAAAAAACAAACCACGGCCAGACATCTGTGCTCCAATGTCATCGCAGCACAGTTCACAATTGCAAGGCATTGGAA